TTTATAGTGAGTATGAATTGATCTTGTGTTCTGTCACATTTCTACCATACAGTGTTTCTTCCAGTTTCAAACTCCTAGGCGGGGGGAGCAGTTCGCCGAAAGTGATAGCTTCAACACCACAACAATTAAACAGGTATGGTGTAGAATTACACTATGGAGATTCCGAGAAGCATGTTGGAAGCCTTTTCGGAGTTATATCATCTATGCATTTAATACATGCAACCGCCGTGGATACCCTATCTATATATCATCATCAATATCCCTTCCCTGTAGATTGATGGTTCAAGGGACCTGTGAAACATCCATATCCTTCAAGCTTTCTGTATGTCCATAATCCTGATTTGCCTATCCTGTATACAAACAGTCATATACCTTATCTCCGAGCTCATGCCACTCGCGCCAAGACTCAATAACGTATCATGCACCTTTTTTTTTGGTGATTTGGCGCATTTGTTGGCCCCAATATAACAGGCGGACTGTGCTCGCCATAGACACTTCCCAGGGCGCGTCACAACTTAAACTAACTACGCGCCAAAATCAAACATACAAGGGGCACGCATGGGAACAGCGACGATTCCTCACCGCCACATACTGTTCAGCCTGCGGGAAGACCGTGGGAGCGCTTGCTAATGCTATTCTGTGTGTAGGTATGCATTAGTTGTTGAAATGAGTATATATATATATATATATATAATATATATTATTATTATTATTATTATTATTATTATTATTATTATTATTATTATTTATTTTATTATTATTATTATTGTTATTGTTATTGTTATTGTTATTGTTATTGTTATTGTTATTGTTATTGTTATTGTTATTGTTATTGTTATTGTTATTGTTATTGTTATTGTTATTGTTATTGCTATTATTATTACTATTATTGCTATTATTATTATTGTTATTATTATTATTGTTATTATTGTTATTATTATTGTTATTAAATAACAATAATAATAATAACAATAACAATAACAATAACAATAACAATAATAATAATAATAACCATAACAATAATAATATATATTATTATTATTATTACTATTATTGTTATTATTATTATTATTATTATTGTTGCTATTGATATTATTATTAAATTATATTTTTTTTAGTAGTAATATTATTATTATTATCAACATTATTATTATTATTATTATATTTTTGCACACGCATTTATCTGTATTCCAAAAATACATTGAATGACATTTATATGCCCACCCGGTTTTACCATAGTTTGACATTTGGCAATCAATCCGTACCATCACGGCACAGAATATTACTGGTGTGCAATACCCTTGACATTCAAAACACTAAACCCTAAACCCTAAACCCTGCTATGGTGCAGACTGTGGCTTTGTCTGTCACAAATCGAAGTCGTGTGCCAGTGTGACTGGCTCGTGTGGCCCACGCTTCAATAGCTCCAGCGTCAGAGACGGGTTCTTGCTAGTGTTCATAGCTTTAATATCGGTAGGTCGTGAGATATATATCTGTAACCTATACTTGTGTTTATTTTCTAGTTTATTGTATTTGTATGTATCTGTGCATGCACGATTTGTATGAGTAATTGTAAGCGGGTGCCTGCTGGCATTCATATCTTTAAAATCAGTAGGTCATGATATATGAATTTGTCACTTACATATATATGTTTTATGTATGTTTCTGTACATACACGATAAGTAGATTGAAAGCTGTTCCTGCTGATGTTCATTGCTTGATATCGATAATTCCATGAAATGTGTGTTTCATGTGACTAGTTGCTATTACAAAAACAGTGTCTATACAGCAGGATACTGATAAGCAGTTTGGGAAAGATTTCTACTGGTATTCGTTACTTTCACAGCGGTTGGTGACGGAAAATTTATACCGTAGTCAACTGAATTTCAATGAATTCATGAGTATCTGCACATGCACGATATGTAGGACATAAGAAAGTATCACAAGTATGCTCTCATA